AGACAAAATCTACTGTAGACTCCACTCTCCCTCACTACCATCATAAAGACAAAATCTACTAAACACCAAACACCCTTCCTAACAATTCTCTTTTGGACATGGAAAAGTGTATCCATATTATCACAGGGACATGTGACATGCTATAAAACTGAAATATACTGCAACACCTATATGCTACTTATGTATATTTCTGTATTTTTATAGCATGTCACATGTCCCGGCGCATATTATTTCATGAAACATCTTTAAAAAGATTTTTTCCTTAACTTGAATTTTCCCTTAAGGAATGACAGCTTAAGTTAAAGGGAGCAGCCTCTTTAAAAAAACACCACAAAGTGTATTAATTTTACTACATTTTATGGTAGTGAAATTTAGGCTGGTACCTAAACCTAAGTTTGAGAAAAATATTAACTTCATTAGGCCATTATGGTTACCAGCCAATGAACATTACTACTTAGTGGGCTACGACTCTCTGGTTGATTGACAACCACACACATGGAAAAGGACAGATGCTTTAATTCTCTTCTTCAGCCAATAAGTGCAAGCAGAGCTAAAAGAGGGAAGTTACAAACAAATCACCACATTAAAGGATCAACATTTGAACCCATTGAACACGAGAAAAGGTACAACATATTTACCCTTTCTTACACAGGTTCCATGTTCTTTAAGAATGTTGAAAACGAACACATTTGAAAACGATCAAAACCCGAGGGTCAAGAACTCGCATGATGCCATCTACAACTGATCGTAACAGTTGCAGCTAATTTGAAGTTCCACTATAATGTATAGTCTACTTATTTTACTTAACATAATTTTGAATATCAGAAAATGTGTGACTCAGTCAAATTTTGGCACTATGGTGGCAAAATCCATGTCTGCCCCGTGCAAATTTTGCTTTTCACATTTGATTACTATGTTTAATAAATTGATTACTTATGTTTGCTGTAATGATAAATTTGCCCTCAATGTGGAGGGAAAACGAGGCAAAAGTTTAACTGTGGTGAAAAGTTTCCAGTATACCGTAGTGTATTTTGTTCCACTCTTCCACTTCTTTATACAACATTGTACTATGTGTGTTTTTTCTTTTTGCCTAAATTTTTCTTTTCAGTATTTTATATAACAATGTTACATAAAATTTCATGCTGTTTTCCAGCCCGTAATTTCGCTATTTTAATCAACATAAATTCCATCTGCAATTCAACTTGCTGAAAATTTAGACAAATGACATTTAAATGAGAAAATAACATGAAATGACGTCCACGTATTTAAATTCTTGTGGTATTGGCTGTAAAGAACCACTGTGTAAATCAATTTTTACCAAAGATTATCTAGTGTCTTTCAAACCATACATATAGGATTTTAGATGAAATCTTAATAATTCTTCAGTTTATTCTGATGAAGTTAAACTACATATGATGAGAACAGGAAACGAGGCAAGGACAAATTTTTATGAAGAAAATACAAATTTGGATTCACTTAATTTGAAAGACAGGCTTTTAAATACAAGTAAATGAATAATTAAAAAAATAATAACGGAAATAAATAAATAAAGCACAGCCCACACTCTTTCCTAGATAATTACCATCCCATAATAACTACTAATTGTATTAACCCTTTCACCCCTAGGTAACTGTAGTAGACTCTACCACTCATTTATTAGGATGAGTCCATTATGATCTACAGTGGTGAAAGGGTGAAAGCAGAGAAAAGCCCTAACACTAACATACTATAAGCGTCAGGTATTTTTGATAATATAAGCCAACAGCGTTTTCCCAGGTAGTCCTCGCAAACATTTACAGCACAAAATTGTATCTATCTACACATATAATCAGAACGGGCTGATAAATTAAAACATCACATTTCAACTGTCACAAAATAGATTTTTTGGCATTGCACTTGATCTAACCTTGTTGGTAGTTCGTATCACGAACCAGTCTCAATGTCTCCAGTATATAGTAATCCTCGTAGTTTCTCACCGATTCCTCAATATCATTATGCAGAATTTCTTAATAATATATCTATCATCTACTTTCTTCAATGATGCGAAAACGAGAAAAAAAGTAAAGAATCGTAAAAATATTATTTATAACCTTATATCCCTTTAAAACACATAATTGTCCCATATGACGGTTCATAAACCTGGTTTTCCGTTTTAAACACAATTTAATCAAACATTCTTTGTTCCATGGTTATCATACTTCCAACTCCCCGAACACCTTGCGACACCAAATGACCTTTGTCTTCCTCGGACGATCATTGCGCTGAAGTCGTTTAACCTCCATCGGTAATAATCTGTTGAACGCTTGTCTGTATTCTCTATCAAATGCATCTGTAGGAGAAAAGACGAGTTCGTTAGCAATGTGTCTGGGAATGATCTTTAAACATTCGTTAACCCTATTGATTTTTGTGAGTAGCTTTGTCATCAGTTCTGCACTTTTATTTACCTTGCTGATTAACAGTTTCTTTCAGACTGGATGAACTAAACCAGTTCTTAAATATGAACTTCTTTTATCAATTTCTGCTCATTGATAGGATTACAATATGATTTTATTTTGATAAAAAAAAATGAAAAAAAATTGAATATATTGGTATGGAAATTGCATGTATTTAAAGCTGACCCAGTAAATGATCTGTCTCATCCCAGGACTACAGGTTTTGTTTAGAGGTATCACCCATACAATTGGTTAATACTTTGCATAGAAAAGGCAGGAACCACCAACTACTGATAACAGAGATTTATTTTGGAGACCTGTGGTCATGCAGATAATTGACTGAAATTACCCTACAGGGTAATCCTAACGCTAATGACATCTTGCCAAAGAGACCTACCATGCTTCCATAGAGACCTACCATTCAGCCACACAGACCTACCATGTTGCCACAGAGACCTACCATGTTGTCACAGAGACCTACCATTCAGCCACACATACATACCATGTTGCCAAACAGACCTACCATGTTGCCACACAGACCTACCATGCTTCCATAGAGACCTACCATTCAGCCACACATACATACCATGTTGCCAAACAGACCTACCATGTTGCCACACAGACCTACCATGCTTCCATAGAGACCTACCATTCAGCCACACATACATACCATGTTGCCAAACAGACCTACCATGTTGCCACACAGACCTACCATGCTTCCATAGAGACCTACCATTCAGCCACACATACATACCATGTTGCCAAACAGACCTACCATGTTGCCACACAGACCTACCATGCTTCCATAGAGACCTACCATTCAGCCACACATACATACCATGTTGCCAAACAGACCTACCATGTTGCCACACAGACCTACCATGCTTCCATAGAGACCTACCATTCAGCCACACATACATACCATGTTGCCAAACAGACCTACCATGTTGCCACACAGACCTACCATGCTTCCATAGAGACCTACCATTCAGCCACACATACATACCATGTTGCCGCACAGACCTACCATGTTGTCACACAGAGACCTACCATTCAGCCACACAGACCTACCATTCAGCCACACAGACCTACCATGTTGTCACAGAGACCTACCATGTTGTCACAGAGACCTACCATTCAGTCACACATACCTACCATGTTGCCACACAGACCTACCATTCAGCCACACAGACCTACCATGTTGCCACACAGACCTACCATGCAGTCACACATACCTACCGTGTTGCCAAACAGACCTACCATGTTGCCACACAGACCTACCATGTTGCCACAGAGACCTACCATTCAGCCACACATACCTACCATGTTGCCAAACAGACCTACCATGTTGCCACACATACCTACCATGTTGCCACAGAGACCTACCATGTTGCCACAGAGACCTACCAAGTTGCCACAGAGACCTACCATTCAGCCACACATACCTACCATGTTGCCAAACAGACCTACCATGTTGCCACACAGACCTACCATGTTGCCACAGAGACCTACCATGTTGCCACAGAGACCTACCAAGTTGCCACAGAGACCTACCATTCAGCCACACATACCTACCATGTTGCCAAACAGACCTACCATGTTGCCACACAGACCTACCATGTTGCCACAGAGACCTACCATGTTGCCACAGAGACCTACCATTCAGCCACACATACCTACCATGTTGCCAAACAGACCTACCATGTTGCCACACATACCTACCATGTTGCCACAGAGACCTACCATGTTGCCACAGAGACCTACCAAGTTGCCACAGAGACCTACCATTCAGCCACACATACCTACCATGTTGCCAAACAGACCTACCATGTTGCCACACAGACCTACCATGTTGCCACAGAGACCTACTATTCAGCCACACATACCTACCATGTTGCCACACAGACCTACCATGTTGCCACACAGACCTACCATGCTGCCACACAGACCTATCATGTTGCCACACAGACCTACAATGTTGCCACACAGACCTACCATGATGTCAGAGACCAAACATGTTACCACAGAAACCTACCATGTTGCCACACAGACCTACCATGTTGCCACACAGACCTACCATGATGTCAGAGACCAAACATATTACCACAGAAACCTACCATGTTGCCACACAGACCTACCATGGTGCCACAGAGACCTACCATGGTGCCCAGAGACCCAACATGTTACTATACAGACCTACCTACCATGCAGCCACACAGACCTACCATGTTGCCACACAGACCTACCATGCAGCCACACATACCTACCGTGTTGCTACACAAACCTACCATGTTGCCACAGAGACCCAACATGTTACCACACAGATCTACCATGTTGCCACACAGACCTACCATGGTGCCACACAGACCTACCATTCAGCCACACATACCTACCATGTTGCCAAACAGACCTACCATGCAGCCACACAGACCTACCATGCAGCCACACAGACCTACCATGTTGCCACACAGACCTACTATATTGCCATATTAACTTACCATGATCTATGTTTTCCCTGCCACACGCAGTAAAGGCCAGGAAAAACATTTCACGATACAAACTCCTGTATTTAGGTCTCCGCAGTCTGTGACGCCGCCGACAGTTCCCAATCATTTTGATGGGTGACAGGATCACACAGACCTACCATGTTGCCACAGAGACCTACTATTCAGCCACACATACCTACCATGTTGCCACACAGACCTACCATGTTGTCACAGAGACCTACCATTCAGCCACACATACCTACCATTATGCCACACAGACCTACCATGTTGTCACAGAGACCTACCATTCAGCCACACAGACCTACCATGCAGTCACACATATCTACCATGTTGCCAAACAGACCTACCATGTTGCCACACAGACCTACCATTCAGCCACACATACCTACCATGTTGCCAAACAGACCTACCATGTTGCCACAGAGACCTACCATGTTGCCACAGAGACCTACCATTCAGCCACACATACCTACCATGTTGCCACAGAGACCTACCATTCAGCCACACAGACCTACCATGTTGCCACAGAGACCTACCATGTTGTCACAGAGACCTACCATTCAGCCACACATACCTACCATGTTCCCATACAGACCTACCATGTTGCCACACAGACCTACCATGTTGCCACACAGACCATGTTGTCACAGAGACCTACCATGTTGCCACACAGACCTACCATGTTGTCACACAGACCTACCATGTTGTCACACAGACCTACCATGTTGTCACACAGACCTACCATGATGCCACACAGACCTACCATGCTGCCACACAGACCTATCATGTTGCCACACAGACCTACCATGTTGCCACAGACCTACCATGATGTCAGAGACCAAACATGTTACCACAGAAACCTACCATGTTGCCACACAGACCTACATATGTTGCCACACAGACCTACTATGTTGTCAGAGACCAAACATGTTACCACTGAAACCTACCTTGTTGCCACAGAGACCCACCATGTTACCACAGAAACCCACCATGTTACCACAGAAACCCACCATGTTGCCACACAAACCTACCATGTTGCCACATGAACCTACCATGTTGCCACATGAACCTACCATGTTGCCACAGAGACCTACCATGTTGCCACACAGACCTACCATGTTGCCCCACAGACCTACCATGCAGCCACACATACCTACCATGTTGCTACACAGACCTACCATGTTGCAACAGAGACCCAAAATGTTACCACACAGACCTACCATGGTGCCACAGAGACCTACCATGGTGCCCAGAGACCCAACATGTTACCACAAAGACCTACCTACCATGCAGCCACACAGACCTACCATGTTGCCACACAGACCTACCATGCAGCCACACATACCTACCGTGTTGCTACACAGACCTACCATGTTGCCACAGAGACCCAACATGTTACCACACATACCTACCATGCAGCCACACAGACCTACCATGTTGCCACACAGACCTACCATGCAGCCACACATACCTACCGTGTTGCTACACAGACCTACCATGTTGCCACAGAGACCCAACATGTTACCACACAGACCTACCATGCAGCCACACAGACCTACCATGTTGCCACACAGACCTACCATGGTGCCACAGAGACCTACCATGGTGCCACAGAGACCCAACATGTTACCACACATTTCTATCATGTTGCCACACAGACCTACCATGGTGCCACAGAGACCTACCATGTTGCCAAACAGACCTACCATGCAGCCACACAGACCTACCATGCAGCCACACAGACCTACCATGTTGCCACACAGACCTACTATATTGCCATATTAACTTACCATGATCTATGTTTTCCCTGCCACACGCAGTAAAGGCCAGGAATAACATTTCACGATACAAACTCCTGTATTTAGGTCTCCGCAGTCTGTGACGCCGCCGACAGTTCCCAATCATTTTGATGGGTGACAGGACATCATTACATTGAATATTGGTAATAATCTGATGGAGTGTTCTGTAGAAATAAAATACACAGAAAATTTAATTTACAATTTTATGTTGTGTTTCAAAGAAATGGTACATCCTCTTGTTTAAAGAAAATTTCCATATTTTCAATGTTAATCAACTGCTATTTTCTAAACATCAAATCCCAGGGTAACTTATCCAGCAAATGTGACATTTCCAAAGTTTCTATAAGTTAAGTTAACAGGTGCGTTATAAAATGTCCAACACTTGGGGTCAAATTTCATCTTTCGATAAATTGAAAGTTTGCTTTACAGAAGTCCCAAAATTAGTGAAAAAACACGAAATGACAATATTTGTATTCATATCATTTACACTTGAAAAAGAGCCATTATAAAGAAAGAACTTGAGCTGAGACTGCATCATGATCCTGTGGACACAAACTCCTGGTTAAACAGTGAATATATTGTGTTACACTTATACTTACGCTCTGTTAAATAGCTGTTGCTCTGTAATCAAGGCATCTACAGTATGGGAACTGTGACCTGAAAGTACAAATTTCAAAATAAAGGATCATACTTACATCAAGGACCATAACTCTTTAGAAAGGGGCTGAAATACTTCGGTGGTCACATGTGAACAAGCTCATCTCACAGGTAAGAGGTTTGTAAAGCTATGTTGAATTTTTCTTTAAACTTCAGGAGTAGCAAATTGCAAAATAGCAGTGGTCGTGTGGTGCAGTGGATAGTGCACTTGCCTTTCACCAAGGCGGCCGGGGTTTGATTCCCCGATCGGACGTGAAAAAGTTGGGGTCACCTGCCCCGACTACGTGGGTTTTCTCCGGGCACTCCGGTTTCCTACCACACTAAGACCCCCCACGCACCATTATCCGGGCCAACAAGGATGATTAATATAAGTTGAAATAACTTGTTTCATAATTGTTGTTAAAATAAATAAAGTTTATACAGTCGAACCTCGCTATCTCGAAGTCGACGGGATCGTTGGGAAACTTCGAGTTATCCGAGTATTCGAGTTAAGCGAGTTCCTATGTTTGGCATAAAGCTTGGTAACAGTATGAGGCTATATATGTCATTGATTTCTCTGACAATCAACGTATTTAAACAGTCGGATAAATGACAAAAAGATAATTATATAAAATATAAAATAACAACTTATTCATAATCATATTAATTAATTTATTAATATTACAATAAACACACATGCTTGCTATGCTGATAGAAATATCAATGCGGAAATGAAAGTGCGCTAGTCTTTACACAAATCACTGTACTGGAGCGTACACGTTGGATTGCTCAGTTGATTTCGACATTCCAAAAATGGGTATGAGTTAATCAGGAAACATATCCACATTGATAGACTCCAATGACACTTGACATCTCCTCAACACGACGTATTTAACAATAATTATCGTATTGTTCCTATAATCTCTCAATTAGTTATCGGTGCCATACAAGCTCCTGTAAAAATATAAACTGGCGAACCAGTCCTAGGTTGTGATTTTTACTGTGGAGCTTATTTACGCATGACCGCACACTGTGACCCATTTTCCGGTTAGAATGTGTTGGCAGCTTTAGTGTAAATAAAGTGCCATTCAAATTGTTTATGGGCTCGCAGTGAGTATTAATTGTTGTTAATCAACATTGATGAAGTTTGTTTCTTAATTGAACAAAGTGTTTTTACAGTCAATCACATTTTAATGCCATAAAGTTAAATAGAAGTAATTATGACCGAGCGTAAGCTGCTCATTTAGAACGATGTTTACCGTAGCACTGCGTCTAATATGCATCAAATAATTAAAGAATATATGATAGACTTGTGAATCTTAAGAAACTTCGAGGTAGGAGATATTTTTATGTAGGATTTTCGTTGTTGGGACCTATGTTTCACTTCGGGATATCCAAGTTTTTCGAGTTTTCAGAGTTCGAATTATCCAAGTTTTTATTACTAAGATTAAGAAGAGTTTTGGCCGGGACCGATGAAATACTTCGAGTTATACGAGTTCGAGATAACGAGGTTCGACTGTATATAGCAAATTGCAAAACTCCTGGTTACATAAATTAAGGGCAATAACTCTTGTATTTAAAACAGAAACAGCATGTTATTCACAGGTTTGTGTGATGGGAAAAAAATGGGTGTGCAGTTTTTTATTGATTTTTTTTTGCACTGAAGCAGGAGTAGTAAAGACAAAATTGTGCTACAGACAGAAGGATTGACAACCAGGTCCCACTGTACTTAGTATGTTGCAGGGATTATAAACGCAAGAATATTCTTCCAATACCAGCTTGAGTAAGAACATTGGAGTCCCACAGGGAAGAGTTTTACCTTCATTCCAGAGCTTGTACATAGGAAGTCCCACCTCATCATGTATACGAATATTGTCCCACAGAGGTCGAATCAACACGTGTTGACTCGTGTACACAGCTGTGGACTTAACCTGAAACAGAAAGGATCAAGTGAGACATACATCGAGTATTACAGTTACACTGGAATTTTCTGTTTATAAACAACTTGTATTACCACTGGTTCCTAACGTTTCCAGGGGGCAGTGACATATATTACCATGGTCGCCTTTACATATCTCCGTAGAAACGGTTCAGGTTGTGTAGAAATATTCCCAAATAAATGAAAGGATTTAGACCAGAACTGTACCAAAATTTAGGCAGAGCTAAAATGCCCAGTTTCGAAGATTTGTAACAAATAAATAGCAATAAATGAAGGACAATATGGCCTTCATTCACATGTGCACCTAATTTCATAACAATCCCAAACTATAAACAAGAGGCCCAATGGGCCTGCATCGCTCACCTGGTATAAAACTCACGCTTGTAACCTTAAAAGTGATCTAAAATAAAGCTACAGGCAAAATATCAGTATTTATGATTAAAATTCGTTCAAAAGACCCGGTCATTTTTTTTTTAAACATTTCACCCCTGTGATTGAAAGTCGAACAAAGTCATTATGTTGAACACATTATATAGGCTTTCATCTCAGGATGCAACTTGCAAAGTATAAACATCCTGGGACCCATGGTTATTCATAAGAGGTTGTTTAAAGATTTTAAACAAATTTGACCCCTGTGACCTTGAATATAAGTCAAAGTCATTCACTTTAACAAACATAGTAGTCCTTGATCCCAGCATATGCTACTAACTAAATATCAACATCCTGAGCCTTTTGGTTATTCAGAACAAGTTGTTGAAATATTTTAAACATATTTGCTCCTTGTGACCTTGAATATGATTCAAGGTCATACATTTAAACAAACTTGGTAGCCCTTGATCCTAGTATGCTACTGACTAAATATCATCACCCAGGGCATTTTGGTTATTCAGAAGAAGTTGTTTAAAGTTTTTAACATATTTGACCCCTGTGACCTTGAATATGGGTGAAGGTCATTCATTTGAACAAACTTTGTAGCCCTTCATCTCAGCTAGCTACTGGCCAAATATCATTACCCTGGGCATTTTGGTTATTGAGAAGAAGTTGTTAAAAGTTTTTGACATATTTGACCCCTGTGACCTTGAATATGGGAGAAGGTCATTTATTTGAACAACCTTTGAAGCCCTTCATCTCAGCTAGCTACTGGCCAAATATCATCACCCTGGGCATTTTGGTTATTGAGAAGAAGTTGTTTAAAGGTTTTTTAAGACAATTGACCCCTGTGACCTTCAATATAATTGAAGGTCATTCATTTGAACAAACTTGGTAGCCATTCACCCTAGCATGCTACTGACCAAATATCATCTCCCTGGGCAGTTTGGTTATTGAGAAGAAGTTGTTTAAAGTTTTCAACATATTTGACCCCTGTGACCTTGAAAATAGATGAAGGTCATTTTTTTGAACAAACTTGGTAGCCCTTCATCCCAGTTTGCTGCTGGCCAAATATCATCACCCTAGGCCTTTCGGTTATTAAGAAGAAGTCGTTTAAAGTAAAATATTGACGCCGGACGACAGACGGGCGACGGACGCCGCACCACGGCATAAGCTCACTTGGCACTTCGTGCCAGGTGAGCTAATAAATGGTGAATTGACCTTGTTTTATGAAGAAATAATGCAAACTAGTAATAATCAGCATTATAATTTTGGTCAGGTATATCGGGACTTCTCGATGTGCACATGCCAAATATTCCCGAGGTCAGCCTCAGTTCAGATCTGAGCCAGTCGTTTCCTTTTCAGGTACAGCTGGTTGAAATGGTTGAACTGTATATTTGAAAGGGACCGCTATTATCAATATTATCTGATATTATCAATATTATCTGATATTATCAATATTATCAGATATTATCAATATTATCTGATATTATCAATATTATCAGATATTATCAATATTATCAATATTGTCAGATATTATCAGATATTATCAATATTATCAATATTATCAGATATTATCAATATTATCAGATATTATCAGATATAATTAATATTGTCAGATATTATCAGATATTATCAATATTATCAGATATAATCAGATATTATCGAAAAATAAATAAAATTGCTTGTGAAGCAAGCAATAACTGACGTTTCACCTGTATAAATAGGATCTTACTGATTCACAGTTTAGCCTGTGTTACTGACGTTTCACCTGTATAAATAGGATCTTACTGATACACGGTTTAGCCTGTGTTACTGACGGTTCACCTGTATAAATAGGATCTTACTGATTCACAGTTTAGCCTGTGTTAAGTGTCTCCCTATGAGTGAGAACTTTAGGTACAGAAGAAATAAATACTTACTGGTTTAGCGTTAGTAGATTTAGCTGTCAGTAATAATCCAGGCATGTGGCTAGGTACCTCTATCCTCTTGAAATACCAAACCTAGACAGATAAAAAAGAATTTGATAATAGTCAAATTCCAGACAACTTAATGATTTCATATTTTTGATTATTATAAAAGGAATATTTCAAATATTACATTTTAAGCACTGCCAAACTCATATTCATTATTTTATCTTTTACATGTCCCATTATTAACATCAAAAGTTTCCTCAATTTTTTAATTTAATTTTAGCATCCATTTCAGAGCATTTGAACTCTGATGTGCTGGGATGTCTCTGACCTCTAATCAGATTTGTATAGATAGTGTATGATCCAGAGCAGTCCTTGGTGTTTCATTCCTCATCAAATTATATGTTTTTATGTAAAAATCAATAAAGAGCTGCCACTGTTCTAAACGAAGTGTTATAATGTTATATCATATTTGACACATCTATTATAACTAAACAATTTTTGATTAAACATTTATTTCTATTATTGAAATTCTAATGAAGAGTATTTTCTTTAATGAGAAACAAAATCTACACATAAACATCAGCCAATACTTCAGTCTGTGATATAAGGACAAGCAGTAACAGTAAAGGTTCCTACCAGGTTCCAGAATATTATGGGATGTTCGTCAAGGAAGACGTCTACGCTGATAGACATATCTCCCTCGCTATTAAGTATGTTCTCCAGCTCTTTTCTCAACACTAAAGGACTCAGGTATGGCACAGTGATGGGGTCCATGGACGTCGTACCCCTGTTACACAAAAAACGGCACATATAGTTAACATGTACCACAACAAACGGCACATATAGTGTACACGAACCACAACAAACGGCACATATAGTTAACATGTACCACAAAAAACGGCACATATAGTTAACATGTACCACAAAAAACGGCACATATAGTTAACATGGACCACAACAAACGGCACATATAGTTAACATGTACCACAACAAAGGGCACATATAGCTAACATGTACCACAACCAACGGCACATAAAGTTAACATGTACCACAACAAACGGCACATATATTTAACATGTACCACAACAAACGGCACATATAGTTAACATATACCACAACAAACGGCACATATAGTTAACATATACCACAACAAACGGCACATATAGTTAACATCGACCACAACCAACGGCACATATAGTTAACATGGACCACAACAAACGGCACATATAGTTAACATGAACCACAACAAATGGCACATATAGTTAACATATACCACAACAAACGGCACATATAGTTAACATATACCACAACAAACGGCACATATAGTTAACATATACCACAACAAACGGCACATATAGTTAACATCGACCACAACCAACGGCACATATAGTTAACATGGACCACAACAAACGGCACATATAGTTAACATGAACCACAACAAACGGCACATATAGTTAACATGTACCACAACAAAAGGCACATATATTTAACATGTACCACAACAAACGGCACATATGGTTAACATGTACCACAACAAACGGCACATATATTTAACATGTACCACAACAAACGGCACATATAGTTAACATGTACCACAACAAATGGCACATATAGTTAACATATACCACAACAAACGGCACATATAGTTAACATGTACACGAACCACACATATAGTTAACATGTACACAAACAGGTTAAGCCAATGGTAATAGAATCACAATCTACAATAATACGACAACAGTATCAACAATGAACAGATGCAATTATTTCAAACTAATTCATTCTTCGATTGGGGAAAAGATGATATCGTGAATTTGTAGGTTCAATAAATGCTATATTTTTACAGATATATCCATACTGATAACGCCAAAATATCTTAAACAGCAAGCCTAAACAGCACTGTGATTTTAATTTGCCTTGCTCCGTCTTGCTTGTTAAACATTCTTAACACCCATGCATGAGGACAGATATCAAAGAATTTAAAATATAAACATTCACTTGTCACTTCACAATCTACAAATCAATTTTGATTATCTGCTTAAGAGGTCCAGTTCCCTGTGAATCAAATCAAAATGAATACTGTTCCAATATCTACACAGAACATATATTTTTGTTTGTTTTTGGAATACCAATCAATGTAGGAGTACTTGCCTCTCCATGAAATCCTTCTTCATCTCCGGTAGATCTGACGGCCGGGTCGGTAGCTCATTATCCTCCTCTATGGAGATGTTGAGTGGGGAGCGTATGAACTGACTCTGGAAGTTATCCATGGAGTCAAACGAGGTGCCAAACATCATATCCGTGGCACTGGTCAGGCATTCACTTGTACACCGCCGACGGGACGTAACGTCAAACTCGGAGCTACCACTTGTACCTATAACGAACAATAATAGTTCAGGATAAACTCGGAAATTATCACTCGAAATAGGTCACAGCAATTACAGAGATTACCACGTCACAGTGACCTACTGATAGTGCAATATACGCCCGTCGAATGCCATATAGTGTTATATACTTTCTTACATTGAAATAAGATATGCATCATTCTAAGAGTGGTTAGCTGACATGCTATAAAAAATGTAGAAGAAAATCTCTGGACAATAAATCAAATACTGAAATGAACAAAGGGCAATAACTTTTGCAAAAATCGTGGAATAGAAATTCTTTTAAGGGTGGCACAACATCATATCATGTTACGTTGAAAAATGAAGGAGGAGATTGCCGGAAAAAAATCAAATACTGAAATGAACAAAGGACAATTACTTTCGGAAAAATTGTCGAATCAAAATTCTTTTAATGGAGACACAACTTCTTATCATGATTATAATGTATACCAAGTTTCAAAGAGATCGGTCAAAAAATGTAGGAGGAGATTGCCGGACAAACTATAGTTTACACCGGACGGACAACCCCATACCATAATACTTCTGTCAAATTTGACGGGCGTATAAAAACAGAGAAATCTCCAACCCTCAAGACGATTATTTGGTTGTTTAACCATCGTCAGAGCCTCGGGTTGGACAACCAAATAAATCACCCCTCGGGTTGGAGATTTCTTTCTCGCACTCTCAAGGGTAGGTGAAGATTCTATTAGACATAATAACTGGTCAAGTTGAAGTTCTGTTTAGACACTGTTAAACCACTAATAAGATTACCTGATGGACTTGAGCAAAGAGCAGCCTCTGCCAGATGAGCGTCCTTCCGTGCGGAGCGATGAGACTGGATGGGACTGGCATGACCATCGCCGTCCAGACTGTCTTCCCCGGGGAAGAAAAAGTTGTTATTTTCTACGCTTCCCAATGACGAGTTGTCCTGGAGAACCCAGGGATCATTTGTGGAAGTCTCCGACACAGAGTCTCCGTCATGGTCTCTCGGTCGCATATGGTGCTCTTCCACTTTGTCTACAAGGTCGTTCACGTCCATGTCGTCAATAACTGTATTGCTGTGATGATCTCTCCAGTCCTGATATAAACAAGTAATATCAATACATTCACATTTAACTTATATTTTTGTCAAGGGTTATCAATTAAACTGTTTCGCAAATTTACATCATTTAAAAAGAATCCTGCAGATTTTCAGCAATATAATAAATATTAATATTTAAAAAACACAAAGCATTATTGTTATTTTCCAACAAAGCATTATTGTTATTTTTCTAGTTTACAAACTGTTTTGTACTTTCAAAAAATACCAATAATGGAAGGAAATTATAATAACTAGAATAATCAAAAAGTGTTATATTTTGTTTGAGCCAATAATATATAGCAGATGCATTTATAGTCTAATCACTAAAATGCTATTTATACACGTACAGCTCATTTGATTTTCAGAAAATGTAAAAGATAAGTTTGTAGCAAGGGAAGAGAGAATAATACGCACAATGCATTAAACACCCACTTGAAAATACCCCAGATTGACTGAATTCTTCCTTAAGAAATTGAGATCAATGCATGTTTGTGTCATCTAAAATTTGTCAGCAACTAACGAAGTCTAGATAACCAATTAAAGAAAGACTAATTGGTCATATTTTAGACTCCTTCGTAAAAGTGGAGCTTGTCAATGTAACATATATATAGCTCATATTCTTACTGGATGTTAACAAAGTAAAGCCTTTCTATTTCAAAAAGCTGTTTTATAAATATCTTATTTCTATCTCAATTGTGGTTCAAACAAGATATTTAAAAGTTTGTGACTAGTAATGATCAAACGTAAGACAGTACAAGTTGTATACATGTGTATGGTGTAGTTTAAACAAGGTGTCTTACACAAATTATAACGTTCTCTGGAAAAGACGAAAATCCTGGGTAAGTTGTTTATATTAGAGAGACTATGATTAATGTTTTTCTATTTACTTTAAATTTATGATTTTGTCAACTTCCAGCAATCTGTCTCCCATTTTTAGCCCTTCCTTGGGGGATCTGTTATCATACTTAAATATGTGTTGTACTGAAATACTTCTATCTCACTCTTACCTTTACATAAATCTGTAGTCGCGGTACAATCTTTGTCTGACAAAATACACACCTACACAAGTAGAAGAAATACAATATATTATAAATTTGATACATTTCTGAAGCCTGAAATAAATCAATGTTTTCTTATAACTATACTGACCCATAAAAATATCTAAAATCATTTTACAGGAGTTCTCCTTCGAAAGTTTAAAAAAAAAAAATGGTTACAATAATTATTGTAAAAGAACCAAGCTTTGCTTTCTGCAACTCGACCTGTTTCACTTTCATTAGTTGTAACTTGTAACACTCATTGGAAAAGTAAAACAAATCACTTAACTACTTGTACCTATGGTTTTTAAGATTTGGGTAAGTAAAGGGGAAACAAACCAAACATTAATGTTGAACTGAGGTATAGGTATCAAAGACAAAATGTACTGCATGATGACTTGGTAGCTTAAAACTGACAGTGCAAGTTAAACAAGAGGCCCAATGGACCTGCATTGCTCAACTGGTATTAATCTCACACTTGTAATCTTAAAAGTGGACTAAAATACAACTACAGGCAGAATATCAGTGTTTGATTCATAAGAACCTATTAAAAGATTTAAACATATGACGCCTGTGACCTTGAATGATGAACAAAGACAGTAGGTTGAACAGAGTTTATAGTCTTCCAACCACGCATGCTTCTGGCAAAATATCATTACCCTGGACCTTTTCGTTATATAGAACAAATCATTTAAAGATTGTCCGTAAAATCGTTCACGAATCTTAATGCAAAATACTGAGAAGCTTACGTTGAGTTTAGATTGGAGTCGTCAGCCAACCAGCCACTCATGATTTCCTCGTCGTACAACAGAGCTTTACACCGTGTACAGCGACAACAACTGCTGATCTCCGTCTCGATGGCGATGTCATTTAGTGATGGAGCCAAGCTCGCGAAATGTACCGACTTCTGCTCTCCGAACTCCTTCAGTGGAATGTACTGCTCCATGAATGACGAAGATGGCAAGAAACTTCCTACAATATTCAAATACAGACATGTATCGTAAAAAGTATATAGTTATACCATAATTACCTCTTTTATAATACCCTGAATAGTTATACCGTAATACCCCTTTTTCATACCCTGTATAGTTATACCATAATATAATGTAGAGTTATACCGTAATACCATTATATATTACCCCTGTATGGTAATATTATATAGAGTTATACCATAATACCATTATTTATTACCTCTGTATGGTAATACTATGTAGAGTTATACCATAATACCATTATTTATTATCCCTGTATGGTAATAGTATGTAGAGTTATACCGTAATACCATTATATATTACCCCTGTATGGTAATACTATGTAGAGTTATACCGTAATACCATTATATATTACCCCTGTATATGGTAATATTATATAGTTATACTGTAATACCACAGTATAATACCCCTGTATATAGTAATATTATATAGTTATACCGTAACACCCTTTGTATGGTGGGTTTATATAGTTATACTGCAATACTGTTATATAATACCCTCTGTATGGTAATATTTATAGTTATACTGTAATACCACAGTATAATACCCCTGTATATGGTAATATTATATAGTTATAATGTAATACCACAGTATAATACCCCTGTATATAGTAATATTATATAGTTATACCGTAACACCCTTAGTATGGTGGGTTTATATAGTGTTATACTGTTATATAATAACCCCTGTATGGTAGTTTATATAGTTATACTGTAATATTACAGTATAATACCCCTGTATATGGTAATATTATATCATTTCTCTGACAGTTATATTTATACCAATATATAACAGCTCTGCACAAGAATGCCACTTCTTAATTCCCTTGGCTTTATTTGCATCCTCATTTACCGACAGCAGTTCTTAAATCTAGAGCAAAAATGAACATAATGTGTCTGAGGTGGGAAAAAACACTTGTCTGTCCATCCTGATGAGTCGAGTTTGCCATCAGGCAAGTGAATTTAACAATTGTCCATAGGATGAGTGACAAACAAATTGATATAGTAATAATGATCATGGCCTTGACCTTGGACTGATCATGCCCATACTTGAACTTGTCTACCGTCTGTGGTTACACACCTGTGTAGTTTTATTAAAATCTTAAGAAATACAACCCTTAAGGTGATTACAACGAGTGTGACAGACAGAAAAAACAAAACCATTATACCCCCTGCTTCACAAATTTAACACTCGTACACCTAAATCATATCAATTAAGGTGCCTGTCCACCTCTTGTACATGTAGCTGGAACAGCCCTCAGTCACACTGCTGGGGGGAAATATGTCAACAAGTGTCCTATAAATAGATATGAAGAGCTGTGTAGTAGCCAATGGACAGGAGAATGTCTTCTTGAGATTTTTTTTTTTTTGTGTCATTTTCGTGTCACACTGACTTCAATTTAGTTTTGGTATATATACTTGTACCTTGAGCCATATTTAATGATTTTCTTCTCTTATCATGTATATATTGATAAGAGGAAATTTAGATATGATCAGTGTCGTGTGATATGATTGTTACGTACCAACGGGCAACGCAGTGGCGGTATCTTTGGATTCGTCGTGTGCATCACCGCGCCGCAGATCCCTGTCTGATCCCATGGCAGACTTCCTAGGGGGTACATCCAGCGCCCCCCTGTGGTGGTGTGTGAGTCCATCCTCGCTGTGTAGGCTATCGTTATCACCTGTATGTGACAGTGACGAGTTCGAACCCATCTTTGTCGGAGTACTCATTGTCTGTTTTATCTCGCTGAACTTGTTAGCAAGAGCTCCAAATCCAGATTTTAATGCACCACTCAGGCGCTCATTATGCTTTCGAAAACTTCCTACTTTTCGCTGCCCACGGGTGTCTGGGGTAGTGGCTTGACTAGATTCTTGTTTCTCATCCAAGGAATCGTTAGATTTTTTGAAAGAGGACGATAAAGACTGTAAATAGCCCTTAACAGGCCAAAATCCACGCCCAGGTTTCTCCACGTTGTCCAGGGATCCTGGAGAACTATTTGTTCTCCCAATATCCATCAACCTCTTTCCTATTTTTTCCACTGGGGAAAGAGGCTGGGAACCAGTACTTGTGATACTAACAGCATCTAAGCTCTGTGCTGAACCCAGACAAAACACAGTTTTATTTTCACTGATTGATCTAGTCCTTGTCGTTTCTTCACCAATATTGCACTCGTGAGCAGTGATGCCAGAACTTGAAATAGTTTCGTTAAAATCAAATTTATCACTAGATTCTGGCAGCGTATTAATCTCATACTGAGGTGACACACACTGGGAAAATGTCACATTAGTCTCACTGGAAATTATGGACCGAGAATCAGAAGGGGGTATATTTTGAGTGTTGTCCATGAACAAACCCAGGGGGTCATTTGTTGTTACGGGGGTACCAATGGAATGTAGTATAGGGGACGAGTCAAGTGTCTCCGGTGCACTGACCGAGTTGGACATGGAAGACGATTTCATATCTATAGGGATAGACATAGGCCTGGCCGAGCTAGTCGGAGTATAATTATGGTCACTAACCTGCACACGACACTCATCTAGCACTACCCCACTATCCTTTGTGTCGTCACTAGTCCGTGCCTCGTCAGATAGACCACTATCCTCAGGTTTATCAAGCTCCACTTCAAATATGTCGTCATCACTGTGCTTCCCTTCCAGTTCACTGAATTTGAGGAAAAGGCGGTCCTCTCCGCTGACGTGACGCGGGCGCCAGTTCTCGCTCACACTATGAGAACGAGGCTTGTTGTAATCGCCAGCACTCTTGTGGCGCTTTCTCTTTCCATTGTTGTTCTCAAAGGATAACTGTCTTTGATATTCATTAGGTTGGACACTTTCATTCACCATGATTAATCCAGTAGATGACAAACTCACTGAAATTAAAAAAGAAGTATTCTTGAAAATAAAATCCAAAATGTAAATATTTGCAAAAAGAATATGTTTTGCCCGACATTATTTAACGATGTCACCATCTTGACTTCATGCATGGTGTCAAAGTGATGTCCCATTGCAACGATGTCACTTTCATAGACTTAATTCTGATGTCACACGTGATATTATATGTCAAAGGAGTATTCGATACATCAAAATGACATGATGTCCTGTGATATATAATTCATCAACAAGAATGATACAGAAGATTAAGTGATATGCTAGGAATTAAATCACCTACTTCTAGCTTTTCACAATAAGGTAAGTCACGCGTGAAGTGGAGTCCTTTGTACCTGGTGTGGCTATTTTATTTTGAACTCTATGATAATAATAATTTGAGGTTCAAAAAGACAACACAGTGCCTTGAAGTGGCTTGCAACCCTTCGGTCATGAGCTTGGCGTCCTACCATTAGACTACCGTGCTTTCTCTAGATGTTATTACATGTAAACAGTACGTACAGCTTATAAAACTTACTTAGACTGCCTTTTAATGTCTCGTGACTACCAATACTTCCAATACTGCCCAGGGATTTCCGTACAATGCTTCCGACTCGGGATCGGAATGCTGTCGGGTCAGCATCACTGGCAGGAAACTCAAGGTCTTTCTTTCCTAAGAAAAAATATTTGAGTAATAAAATCTTTTTAACAATCTTTTAATTTCATTTAAATTACCATTTTAATAGATCATAACATTCTAATGACAAAGCATTTGACCAAACACAATACCGATACTGTAACAGAAGAACTGTTGCCATGTGGAAATATTCTTGTTAGTAAATTAGTGTGAAAATATTAAATGGCCAATATTTATTTTAAGATTCTAAATGAATATATAGATTTGAAAACTATGTATTACAAACATGAAAATTTCCACACCGTGATCACTTTAGAGGGTCAAAATGCAAACATATTCAAATCCTGATATTATCAATACAAAAGGCAGATGGTGCTGTGACTTGCCATGTCTAGTGGTTATATTTACTCTGTAGAGATTAAACATCCGGTGGGTTTTGTTGGAACTTTATTCACTGTATGATCACCAATTCTTATCTCCTGCCAACAATTTGATATAAAAACCATACTGAAATCATAGGCAGTGTCATACAAACAATAAACACCATGAAATTTGTACAACACAATGATAAGATTACTATGTAGTATTAAAAAAATAGCTAAAAGTGGGAACCTGATGTCCGAACTGAATTGTGTTTCCGTGGCAGAGTGAAGCGGAGAGAAGACTTGTTATCCTTGTTTACTTTGCCCAGCTCCTTGTCTTCCAGGATTGTCATTGACACCCCTTGTACAATGGTTTTAGCTTCATCATAGGTCATGGAATTGTAGCCACGGTCAGATACTATTCCTGAAAGAAGTTCATAAGAAAATGCTGACAATTCAGATCTACTTAATGAAATTCTTATATAATTTTGCAAAAATTCACAAACAAATTTGAAACTAAGCTAGAATTCAAGATAACCTTGACATTCAGCTAGAATTTATTAACTTCTTGACAATTAAGATTGAGTTGAATGAATGAAATATTAAAATAAATACAGATGTTAAATAGGATTAGTGTTCAAATGATCCCAAGAGAATTTTTATTTATATTTTGTCATACAATATTGATTTGTGGGCTCAAAATATGTCCACATAAACAAAAACAGAAAATAAAACTCCTTTCAGCATTTTCTGATCCTGTGTAAAACCGAGTAAAGGAATCAATTGTTAATTGCGAGATGAAAATATAGATTTACTTAGTTAGAATCCCTGTTTCATTACCATAAACCAAATGGTCTATAAGAAGGTTTTGCCAATAAAGGCATTTCCTAAATATTGTCCCTACCTGAACTGGCACTCTCCTGGCTGATAATCGACGTCACAGTGGGGTTCTCACTGCTAACACCCGCCGTGTCCGAGACCACGATGTCAGACTTGATGATACTGTGTTGCTTCTCCCCAGTGTCCTCCAAAAAACTGTCTATACTAGTTCGGCTGATTTGATCATAGTCGCTCCCTGAATTGGAACATATAGATATGCTCCGTCGACGGATGGCGCGGCGGAACTGAGCAACACCAATTATCACATTCCGTACTTTTTTCCAAAGTACAGCCCCGCGACTTCTGGAGGACGGCCAGGTTCCCTCAAACACAGCCTGAAGTTAAAACAGTTTATAAGTATCGAGCTACTGTTTGGGAAGAAGTTAATCCAAAGTGTTGTTTTCAGCAACAATGTATACAGCACTACTGACTGCTTGTATGATAGCATTGTGATTGTTTGGCACAGGGATATATTTCTACAATGTGCATAGGAAAAACATCTCACCTGGTATTAACAAAATACACATGTGCTGTCATTACACTACAAAATATATAGACAGGTGAGTTGTTTGTTCACATATATTAGATAGAGTATAAGGACAGGTGTGCTGTATTCTTTTATAACTTTTTTGTATTCTTATCAAAACAAAAAAACTTGTGTTTAGTGTAGTATCAAAAGACATATTTATCCAATTATGGTTCAGTTACTAGCTTATAGTTTATATATTAATTAATGGATGGTGGAAGAACTGTTCCAGCCCTACCTGAAAACAATGGCATTAACTCATTTACCCCTGGAGACACATTTGAACTCTTCCAATTCAAAGGTTGGAATAGTTGATTATGAAATTTCAGGGGTGAATAAGTTAATATGTGCTATATAAAGACCACACCAGCAACAACCAACATTATATTGTAATTTTCTGAACATACATAATTTATCGTACCTCATTGAATCTTTTAAGCGATAACTCTAAGTTTAGAATGACATATACCTTGTTGTAATATCGGTACGTTATAGCGTTGGGGTATCAACCTTTATTGTAATGTCTGTAAGAAAACAATGTTTACTGGTTAGTGGTACCGTTTTACTATTAAATTGCATCTGGTGACACTATGCATATGTATGCTTCTTCTTCAATGCAAGTGAACCCATGCCCCAAGCAAGAAGTTCCAGTAACTGGAAGTGTAGGAGATAGAGCCCGGACAAATTTTTTCTTTGATGTAGGTCAAAGGTCAAAATGTAGGTCAGAGTGACCTACTTTTAATACATGACACACCGCCTCACCAAGGTGAACCCATACACCAAGTATAAAGTTCCAGTGACTAGTAGTGTAGGAGATAGAGCCCGGACAAGATAGCAGATGGAAGGACAAGACGCAAAACGATAGCCCCCCCCCCGTTCTCGTCGGGGGACTAATAAATGATAAGGGAGTAACTACCTTGTTGTAAAATCCATACGTTATGGCGTTGGGGTGGACTCCAGCCATCTTCATCTGGGAATGTACCTTGACAGCCAAGACCGGCATGTTATACTGTCCACACAACTGCAGCATCACCCTGTAACACACCTGTCAGGGACAGATACAGAGTTAGATTAGTCACCGTTAATCCAGCATAATGTAAATTAATGTTAGTGCTAGCTAGTTCCCAACCATGCGATGGTTCTGATATTATATAGAAATATGAGATGCCTTTGAAATATTTTGGGCAGATGTTTCGCTTCAATATATGGGGACAGCATCAAGGCTGACACTGCTATTAAGCACATAATACATATAACTATGTACTTAATTGATCTTTCTAAGACAATTTTGTGAGGATTTGAATTCAAGAGAGAAACGAAGACTGCTTTATGTTCCTCCTTTACTTTGTATAAATATTAGTGAGATAATGGAATTTGTGCTCATATCTCGTTGTGAATGAATGGGAAAATAAACATCTTGATATTTTAATACACTATTCCCTCTGGCCACTGACAGACAGTGTATATTCACAGAGCTTGCTATCTTTTGATTAAATGGTCATCAACATCACAGACTTACTGAAGTATGCCTAGTTTATGATCAATGATAGTGACACTTCATGATCATCAGCCTTCAATTTACACCAATCAACAATCCTATTATCATCTGACATTTAAAATATGACATATCTAAGACGTTTGAGAGGATTTCCCCCCATTAAGTCCGATGAACAATTTTGATGAAAACATCAGCCTTAATGCCTTATGATTAACTACGTTATCCTCGCTATGGTACATATTGATGACGACATCAGCCTTGATGCCTTATGATTGACTATGTTATCCTCGCTATGGTACATATTGATGACGACATCAGCCTTAATGCCTTATGATTGACTACGTTATCCTCGCTATGGTACATTTTGTTAGCTGATGTACAAGTTCAATAATTTTAAAGTACATGTATAAGTTCCGATTTTTAATTTGGTATTTTAATTTGGCATATCATGTGGTTAGAAGTTAGGATAACTATAGCCCTTTAAGGGAGCTTGTTGCAGTCTAAAGACAATACTTGAGTTTTTTTGTGTAATGATATTTATTCTATCTCTAACAAGACGTTGACAAACCTCGTCAGGAGGTTGGAGTTTTGCCAGCTTCATTTTCTGTAGTACATCATAGGCTGCCTTCAATGCCTTGTTTTTGGACGGACAGGCACTCACGTACGCTGGCAGGTGGATAAACCACAGGCTGTAGCAGTGACTCAGCAGACACCTGGAGCAATGGAGGGAAAAGGTCACATCGAGTCATTTCCGTACATATGTAACAACTGTTGTACATACTCTTACAGCGTAGCTGAATCAACATCAATTTTGTGGACAACTCGTACACATTTTACACCTTTGTGTGCATACGCTTCACTTGTCATTTGTCTGATGAAGGTGACAGTATACATACCGTACTAGCTATCAAAACGTCACATACTAACTCTTAGTGGTTGTGTAAAAAGAACTTTCATAATCCTTACTTACCAACCTGAAGAAAATGTTTAGTCATGTACAAGGTCACACGTCAGGGAAGATGCTTATAAAAAAGTATGTCTCCACATTTTCGAGGTTATAACCTCAAAGATGTATTGTGAACGTGAGGAGTACTCATCAGAACTGCTTTGTGTGATGTTTTACTGACAAGCTATAAATAGCTCTTTTTATCATGAATGTAAGTTCAATATACTGTTAATTTGGATGAAATTTTGTTTTCATATTGAATATATTTCTACTTTTATAACATTTCTTGTAGGACAAGCAAACAAAATGCTTTGGTTTTTGTTCTAGGAAGAATAGGATGACGCTTTACACTTACTTTGCCCACAACATAGGATCAGTAGAGTTTTGCACAGCATTCTGAAAACAAAGAAACATAAATTAGTCCAGGAAATGGGAGTTTTGTCAAAAAATTGCAATGTAATAATGTCGAGAGGTTAATAAGTACTTCAATACTTTATCCAGTTTGATACAACCTTTTGCATAACTTTCCACTTTTATTACTACAAGATTATTTCAAGCATCTGATGGATGCAAATTATCAAGTAAAGCTTATATCTGTGAAGTCAATCTTGAGTAACTTTTTCAAAAGTATGTTCAACTAGTTCCTGTAGGGCCTTTACCTTCTTCATTTATACAAAACTAAGATATGTAATTCTGTCATTTTGCTTTTTGGGAAAGGGCCTTTTAAAGCCTCTAAAATTTACCACAAAGGACCCTTAATACACATATCAGAAACCATGTGAAATAAGTAATTATTTGTGATACAGACCTTCTGTGCCGTCCTCACTTCCTGTTTGGTGCGCCGAGAGATTGGGCTGTTAGGACAGACAGGACCTTTTGAAGGAAGAGATAACTCGGACACTTTTTTCTTCATGAACAGCTCATGCTTCAGTTCTGGGAATCCATTATAGCTGTAACACCACGTGTATACATCAAAATATATCAAATCTAAAATAAGATATAAATAATTGCACTATTATTTGTAAACCTTACTAATAAATGTTTTGTTGTGGAGTTGACCTTTACCCTTTGTATGTGTGATCTGTACGATACATTTTCACTCGGCAATGAGCCAATCCTGCCTGCTCATTAAAGACTAAAAATCAATTGGTTTATAAACAAACAAATAAGCTGAATGATTGACTTCCTGTTTAACAGGTTATCTTTGTGTATGAAATACCTTTTTAATAGCTCCAAGTTTTTAACTTGGCTTTATTTTTTTTATTTTATCAGTCATACAATTTTTTTCTCAGGTTCTATTTTAGTACAGGTTTTTTTTCTTTGATAAACAATACAATTTTTTCCCCATGTTTATTTTTAGTACAGTTTTCTTTTTTCTTTATTGATACAGGTTTTTAGAGTGAAACTCGTTTGCGAAGGAGATCAATATTACAGTAATGTAGCATATACCCTTAATACAATTTGTTTGGAGTCTGTGAGAGATATAACATACCTGTACTTGACACCTTCAGGAAGTCCCACTGGCTCGGGTGGCAGGATAAACACAGTTCTCTCACTTAAACAGAAAAGAAATGAAAACAAGAGGCCCAAGGGCCTTAGCGGTCACCTGAGTTATATCATAGATACTGGTAGCTTTATTTTATTGTTTAGATGTGATGTGGAAATCAGCATGTAAACTAAGTGAAATTCAATTCTTGTCATGTCATCAATGGATAAGAATTTGAAAATATTGGTAAATGTTTCCTTTGGGGCCCCGCTCTAGCCCCTGGGGATGGGGCAGGAATCCTAATTTTACAAAGTAAAACTCTCATTTACCCAAGATGATTCTGACTAAGTTTGAGCAATTTTCTGCTGAAAATATATAAAATATATACCGAAAAGTGTTATTTCCCTATATAAACTATATTAAACGTTAACCCCTCCCCAAGGGAGAACGGATAGCTCGGGGTCCTGATATTTTCAATTTAAATAAAGCCCCTGATGATCTTTCTTTCCACGTAAAGAAAATCACTGTAGTACCTCTGAGTCTGGAGAAGAAGATTTTTGAAATATTGATTAATTTTCCCTTTGGGGCCCCGCCCTGGCCCCAGGGGTCGGGGTAGGAATCTCAATTTTACAATTTGAAACCATCTACCTCCAAGGATAATTCTCACCAAGTAAAAATAATTTCCTACAGAAAGTTGTCAAAATATACCCAAAAGTGTTATTTCCCTATATAAACTATAGTAAACTTTACCCCCTCCCCAAGGGAGAACGGATAGCTCGGGGGTCCTGAAATTTACAATTTAAGTAAAGCCCCTGATGATCTTTCTTTCCACGTAGAGAAAATCACTGTAGTACCTCTGAGTCTGGAGAAGAAGATTTTTGAAATATTGATTAATTTTCCCTTTGGGGCCCCGCCCTGGCCCCAGGGGTCGGGGTAGGAATCTCAATTTTACAATTTGAAACCATCTACCTCCAAGGATAATTCTCACCAAGTAAAAATAATTTCCTACAGAAAGTTGTCAAAATATACCCAAAAGTGTTATTTCCCTATATAAACTATAGTAAACTTTACCCCCTCCCCAAGGGAGAACGGATAGCTCGGGGGTCCTGAAATTTACAATTTAAGTAAAGCCCCTGATGATCTTTCTTTCCACGTAGAGAAAATCACTGTAGTACCTCTGAGTCTGGAGAAGAAGATTTTTGAAATATTGGATAATTTTCCCTTTGGGGCCCCGCCCTGGCCCCAGGGGTGGGGGTAGGAATCCCAATTTTACAATTTTGAAGCCTCATCTACCAAGGATGATTCTGACCAAGTTTGAAAAAAATCCATCCACTGGTTCTTGAGAAGAAGTTGAAAATGTAAAAGTTTACGCACGACGGACGACGACGGACGAAAAGCGATTGGAATAGGTCACTTGAGCAAAGCTCAGGTGACCTAAAAATATTGTACAGTCAAGCTTTTTTTCTTCTTCATGATTTACACATTTCTTCTTCAAGATTTACACAAAGACTTCTATAAGTACTATATTTCTAAAATAAATGACAATCAGACTGCAAAGCCACAACAGTCAGCTGTTGAAACATCTCGACCTAAATCAATTCTATTGAGACAGTCAATTACAACCGTGTCTATACCATAGAGAACGAGATTTCCCAATTACAACCGTGTCTATACCATAGAGGATGAGATTTCCCATATAGTTTTATTGTTAATTATTGTAGTTTGCAGCTCTGTGTAAGTTGCGAGGATGGAAAGTAAAGTTACTGTATTTGTAGAGCTGAAAATTATATAATACGTTACAGTTAAGTTTGTTACCTGTTTTGAGAATCATCAATTTCTATGAGCTTTGGTTCTTCTTTTGTTTCATCCACCTGAAATCAGATTAATTTTGCATTAGACTTCCATTTAATGTTAAACTGTTGCAAAAAAGAAAAAGAGAACAGGCCAAGGACATGAATATTTCAATTTTTCCTGAATGTTTTTTTTATAGATTTGATTTATCTTAAAAGAATGAGCTATTGTTACTGTAGCAAGGTAATTCATCCCCAGTTTCATATCCTTTTGTCACACCTGAAATTGTGGTCTTTCAGCGATGGCATTGAGGAGATGTGTTTAAGCATATATGTTTCCTTAAACAAGATGACTCTGAGTGATCTACTTTGAACTGCTTTTAATCAACGCTATTGAATTTGGAATTTTACAAGTACTGTATAATCAATATAATAATTTTGTACCAATAATTTATTTAACCAAATCCTAATTACCATTTATACAAGATATCATTTCTTAGTGTGGAACTCTTCTATAAAAAGAGACACATATCTGAGTAGGATAGCATATCTTTAATTTAGACATCATAAACTCCCAAGTACATCAGTATGCCATAATAGGCCATTAAATGCCACAGCTCTGTAAAACATAAAGAAGGAACCTATTGAATGCTTCAGTGAATTTGCTGTTTTCTGTGTTGGCCTATTCATTTGAACAAATTATTTGATCAATACATGATGAATTAAATCTATCTAAAATCTATGGTTTCAAAATGTCCACAAACCTTTTCTGTGCATTCGTCAAAGAAGGCAAGACTAGCATCTTTGTCGGATACAAAAGACCGCTCCTCAATGAATCGGATGAAAGTCTGGGTTTTCACCAGCTGGTTGTAAAACTTAATATTAGCTTTGTCTCTACTCTTCAAAAACCCTGAAGAAAAAAGTTTCAATTTGACATTAATGAAGATTGGGCAGCTGTCTCCCATGAACACATGTACATAAAATTATTCCAAATTTTCACTAAATGAAGTTTAATTGTACATATAAAAAGCGAGGTGCTACATACATATCAAATAAACAATTATTGAAGGTTCGTCTTGAATAAATTTATCCAAAATTGACCATGCTACCCTGGTTAAAGGAGAGATATCACTTAAAGTTAGATCAATTTGAACCTCTGTCATTGGAATTTTAATACCTTTACATAAAATTTGTTCAGACATTCTTGACTAGTAATGTTTACTCATTGACCCCTGAAATTTCCTAATGGACTATTCAAACCTTTGAATTGGAAGAGTTCAAATGTGTCTTCAGGGATAAATGAGTTAAGAATGGAAAATCTAAATAAGAATAGATCAGTTCTTCATTATTGCAATCCAATAATTCTGATAAATCTAATAAAGAGAAACTGCTATGGGCCGTTTAAATTTAAATGTATATATGGTCCATGGCCTTTCCCCATCTAAACACTGGAAACAGCTATACAAGGTTGTAGTGTCTGAAGAGATGCCCTTACCCAACAGCAGGGTACATCTCTTCGGACAAGATTTAAGTAAAACAAGTCACAGAACATTACGGTATACCACAAACCTTGCATGTCGAACAGAGATGTGGCGTCCGTTGTATTTTGAGTGGGAGCACGGGTGATAGGTTTTAGGTATTGTTTGTACCCTTTTAATACGCAGGCCATGAACCGCAGGAAGGCCTCCTGAATCTGTAGCTCCATCAGTGTCTGAAAGATAAATTAATTTACAGATTACCTCTCTATTCCTAATTCACCAATGAAAAACATGTACAGTGACATCATTCTGGGTTTACAATTATGCAACAAGGGAACATTGTATTTGTCATTACAGAGAATCTGTCTTAAATATCACCTCTCTATAAAGGCCACCTGTCTAAAACATGCTTATTTTCCTGTCTCTAAGAGGATCTCTATGAACAGGTTTATTTTTCTGTCTCTAAGAGGATCTCTATGAACAGGTTTAGCTATCATTTTGAATACGTAAGCTGTAGTATTGTGTATGTACCTCCTTGCGTTTGCGTTTGAAGTCGTGATCTATGGGAGCCATCTCCAGTGAGATTTCATCTATGCTGTGTGTGTGTGAACGCTGGGCACACAGCTCATCAAACAGTCGGTGTAGAGTGTTATACAGGACACGGGCAGCTTTCTGTTAAAACACAGAGTTAAATGTAACTAAAATAAATGTTTATCTCAATTCTTCCTTCCATCAACATTAGTCTGTAATATTTTTAAGAAAAACACTTTCATTACTACCCCCTGGAGATCAAATCAAATAGCTCGTTATATACCTTATTTCTTATAAATTTGACGTGAAGATTGTAAGGGAACACAGAAATTTGTTGCCAAGTATAAGAGGGTATAAAGACATTACTAGTTACCATGTTGTGCTGTAGACGTGTACAACCAACATCCAAATAGAACTGAGGAAGAATCGATGAAGAATCTTAATCAACTACGCACTTATTTAATTTATGTTTGAACTTTGACCTCGGACAAATATACCAAATAAGGTAAAAAGTGCCTAGAGAAGAATTTCCCATCTATCTCTTTAAGTAAATAGATGTTGGTGTCTATCTTCCACCAGTATGTCATATTTCTTACCTTTGGGAACTGTTTGTATGATGTGTTCTTTTTGTCATCAGGACTGGAAAACACAATTGTATCAGGTTGGCGTTAATCCAAAACGTAACAGAAGAATACATTTTCATAATTAAATTAGAGAAAATATTCTGCAGGTATATCTGTTTAAGGATAATTCAGCTGAATTGCAATGGATCAAATAACTTTGAAATGAGAAAAAAATTGATACCATGGTCATTCAGGTGAGCTAATAAAACTTGTTATAGGAAGTAAAGAGCATACTTACAGAAATATTGCGATTGTGTCTAGATCTACACAGACGACCTCCGGCGGTGGATCGTACAGGTCGAAGTAGCGAGTGTCCACTCCTACAACACAACACAACTTAACAATGTATCAAACATGTGATGATGATAGAACACCTTAATCTATCTATTAGGGTTCAATGGACATTCTGTTTTTATCTATAAGAATCAATACTCATCTAAACAATAGGTAAATAGTTCAGTAAACAGATTTTATTTCTCACTATGCTATTTTCAATTTTGTTTAGATAAACTGAGATTTGCATAGATTAATTTGTGATTTCAACATTTCTGGTCTGAGGAGCATTTTGACTACAGATGTTTGCCATATGTTGAATTTACCTAATATGTACAAAGTACTATTTAAGCAAGTTTTCATGATCTCTCTTTTGGAAATGTATTTTTCCAGTAGTCAAAAATGACAGATAAATTCTTATTGCAGACTATCCTTCGTCATTGTCAGTATAATTTGTACTGAGGAGTATCCAGGGTTGTTTATTTAAGACTACTTACCAACAATGAACGGCACTGGTGCGCTAAGGACGTAGGAGAGACCCAGTGGACACAAAGGAATGTAGGCACACTGCCAGTGTAGGGGGAACAACATCTGTCGGTAAATAGAACAATGTAGCAGGATCATAAAGAAATGCTGAAACTAAGGTGATTCTTTTCTAAATTGGGCATTGAAAGAGATCTCAAAAATCAAAACATTTCACTCATCTTGAACGGTTTTAGTGAGAGTTTCACTTAAAAATGATTCATGTTGATCAAAAGTCCTTCAGAGGTTTTTTATCCGTCTTATACCACTGCAACATTAAGTAAAATTAATCGCTTAATATCTTGATTGAAATTTTTTTGAAACAATCATGGGATGATATTTTGCATTATTCAAGACTTGACACCACCTTGTTAAATCTTCATCAGTTATTTTCATCCCTCGAGGAGATAGTTTTGCATATCAGAAAAGGATGTCAGAAAGTCTATCATTCTCATACTTATTTTATCTTTTGTAAGATTACATTATTTTCATTTCTCACACCTGTGACAGACGACTTCTTAGTTTTACCCTCTGAGATTACAGTCTCATTCTAGGGGATATCCTGTGATACGATATATGACCAGACAGGATCTCTTTGAGAACTGTTTTAGTAAAGTGTAATTAATCACTATTTACCATCATGAATTGAGAAATCTTAAGCCTTATCACATACAAAAACATCTAAACCCTCTAACCAACATTCTAACAATAGATGTTTAATCAGTTCTGTAAGACATGTAGTAAATATTCTAGTGTTGACTGCTTACATTGGCCACAGACTCTGCCACGCCTGTGAGAACAGCGGGCCGTAAGGAATGGAGAAGGATCTTCTGCTCCACCAGTACGTGTAGCAGTAGGTTCATACAGTTCTCCGGACCCAGGTTCTTCAGCATTGTGATATAGGAAGCTCCGCTATAACAGACACAAACTTTCTTTTCCAACACATTTCTCCTTTCATGAATGAATAATTGTTAATACAATGAAAAAATGTATAGAAGGCAATTTTCATGGTTATATTTACTGTTACTGTTTTGGTTTTCTGCAAATTCAACTCAACAAAAAAACATTGGTACAGTGTAACCCACTTATTATGATATCGGTTATTATGATATTTTCCCCATGAACCGATTTTTTCCTTCTTTAACTAAGCAAAAAAATATCATTTATTATGATATGGTCAAAGGTAGACCCCGCTTATTATGGCATTTTATTCTGCCGTGAATGGATTTTATAAGGTAAAAACTGTCTACCGAACACAAATTCCGATAAGAAAACGAGCTTTCACAAATATTCACAGTTACCTTGACACGTCATGTGAGAAAATCATGCGGGATAGATTGCTGATGTTGCCTACTACTCACCTCTGTGGTAACGGAGAATCCGATGGCATAGACAGACACAGGGCTTCGTGGTTCAGCTGTTAATATACATAAAGATTAATTCAGGAAGTCAATTCTATCATATTTCTGGTTCAGCTGTTACTATACATTAAGATTAATTCAGGAAGTCAATTCTATCATAAGACAACTCCCCACTGTTAATTAATGTACAACAAGGTATGCTATTGTGATAAGTATACACCATGGTGATTAAATACAGGAAAACAATACATGTCCTCCTTCACACATGAGCATAATCAGGGCCTAGAACACCATCAGGTGGTAGTGACATGTGCCAGAAGTTTTATCAAAATAACTTCAATATTCAAGTTAATATCAATTTGGGAGAATTTGAAAAATGAAAACATCCCACATTATGACTGCAATAAGGGAATTTTAGCTTAAAAATTATAACACTTGGTCATTGCCATAATATATATATGCGAGGGCTGAAACTTCCAGTTTTATGATACATGATGAGATACTATATATTCTGTAGGAAAACCAAGTTATTTATATTATTGTCTATTGGTGCCTCGTTGAGACAGTCACTGACCTGGACCAGAATACGAGGCCTCTGAGGAGAAGGGTACGGTACATCATACATGAAGTGGGAAATATGTCTGAAACAGGAAGTCACACAAATCAGTATATGATCTAAACAAACAAATTAATCTGATTCTATTAAATCTAGAAACCAAATCAGTCTGGTTCAGTATTTCTTAACAAATATTTTTTCTGCTCAATAAACAATTTTAATTTGTATCGGGTTTCCGTGAAGTGTCTTTTTATTTAGCCAAGTTGCCCACAATTACATTTACAATTTGCTAGGCAGGCCGTCCTTTAGATATAATATTTCTGCCTGTTATATGTTGGTTACCAGGCAAAGGAAGAATACACTTCAGTTGTTGTTACAACATCAAGAAGATCACACATAAAATTGACTATTCGTAACACAAGTATGGTCATCAAAGTTGGTTAATTTGAGTGACTTTGTGCTATAAATAAGGTTGAAACATATATCAGTATCTTTTATGTCAGCTATCAGAAACATTATCTGAACTATCGATAACTTACCTCTCCAGAGGAACCGAGTGGGGCCCGGTGATGGAAATACGGTACAGGTAAGTCAAGAACTTGCGGAAAGCATCAAAGAAGGGCCAATGAGAAAGCAAACAAATACTTTTGTGAGCATGGACAGTCTTTAGGATACGGTACTGTTCCCGAATGTGTTTATTCTTCAGGCCAAGGTGACGCTTTTGTAGATCTGTGAGTCTTTCTTCCGGAAATTCTTCATAAAATGTCACAGCAGCACCATAAAGCTTGAACACAAAATCAATGAAACTTCATTTTGCCAATAGTATAGCTCATTCTGCTCAGTGTTGAAACTCAATAATAATAAAGCATAAAGCAATTAAAATAATAAAATCTGTCTCCCTGTTGAATTATGAATATATAAAAGCTAGAAGATTGCCTGAACATTTTTCGTTTTCATCATCAGAAAGTCACGACTGATCGTCCATGTGACTCAAAGGATTTCTTACTGGTTTGTTTGATGTGAAGGCTATGATGTAAGGTTACAAGCTATGATACAGGCGTATCATTTGGTTTTAACAGTAAATGTTTGACAATGGACTTAATTCTTCACGTGAGTACTACATTAAGTGTGTGTACCTGTTCTCCAGCTGACCCTGTCAGAACAAATGTGGAGAAGACGGGCAGAGGATGCTGGGCCTTGGCGGACCAACACTCGATGGAGGCCCCCATAGGTAGACAGAATAGGGGTACTGATTCTGGTAGTGGGAAACTCAGATGATCCTCTCTCGGGTACCGGTCCAAACAAGCTGCAAGACATAGCAAATCTCTCAGGAAATGGGTACAAATTGAAGATATATATTGATAAGAAAATTGCCTTAAGCCATTTCTGTTAATAGTATTTCCACAAGGGGAATAAGAACTTTATGAATATGGATTTTATGGTGAAGAACAAATATTTCAATAGATTAATATTTTATGGTGAGCATTGAAAGTATTTTCTTAAGATAAATCCCCAATCTTACATGGCTGATAGGCCAGGACATCCATCTTGGTCATCGCCTTTTTGTAGCACAGGTAGACATCTGATCCGACCTACAAACAAACAAAAATCTATACCACCAATGTCCAGCTTCAAACAACAACCTACAACAATAACATTTATAACAGGAATCTTACTTTTTATGGAGTGAAGGGAGTTGTGTTCCAAGAGCCAATGAATAATTGTAGGCTAATGATTATTATATATGATGGGGAATTAGGTCTATGTTAGATTATCTACCGTCTATACCATGCAATTAATTTTGGAATTAGATTTACGAAAAGTTTTTGGTTACTACCGGTATGTATGCATTACCATATAATGACATGCATAACTTTCATCCTGGGATGAAAAGAGAAGAACCACTGGATAACTCTCTAATGGGCTGTGAAGTTTGATCAAAATCGGGGGTCAAACAAAGTCCCGAAAATATTTGGCTAGAAAAAGTAAATTAACATAGAAACCAATTAGAAAATGACATATTAAATGTTAAAGACTTAAGGCATTAAGTCATCATCTAATATTTTCGTTTGTTAAATAGTTCATATCGCCTGCAGATTAATATGTAATTATACATGTACTCTTGTCATATTGAATTGTGTTCTGATCAACAACTACTCAAATCACCACAATGTGCACAAATGATTGGGCACTCAAAGGCAATTTTAAATGTCATCTTACAGAAATACTCTAGCCTGGTCATGGTGGTATGACACTCCACTGGTGACATCATTGACATGGGACTACACAGAGGTGACATGGGGAAACAACAAGATAGAATGAGAGGAGAGAAAAGGAAAATAGGAATAGAATCAATTTAGCTAGAAACACTGAAAATGAAATTTCTCCAGTAGCCAGGGACTTCAATAAGATTTCAAATTGCATGTATCCAACACAAAGTAGACATTAAATTTCAGTATAATCATGATACCCCCATTACCATTCTTGCATTTTTTCATGAAAGTAGCAGGTCAATTATCTCTAGTAGGCATATATTTTTACTGGCTACTGCCCATAAATGAAACCCTTGAGTAGCAGATTTTTTTTTGTGTACAAACCATTCCTCTGTTTAGATTCTTCTCTATTCTGTGGTAAGCATGAGGTGGAATTTCTCCCTGTAACAAAACGTAATATTTTACTTTTACGAAACAGATTCAGTATAGTCTCTGCAATAAAATCTTACATTTTTCATTTACCAAACACATTCAATGGAATAAAATATTAAAATTCATTTTGCTGCAATTTACTAATTATTTGACCTTTTATTTTACTGCAGGGAATTTTTAATCAATATTCAAAGGGTCTATGACAATGGGAAATTCTGAACTGTAAATGGTGAAAATTCAATTTTGTACAAATTTTTATAAATGGCAAAAATAGCAACAATCTACCATCACTAAGACTCAGTTTCCTAGATTTTTGGAAATCTTGAAGTGAGAACTTTTCCTTAAAGCTTTCACTTAAAATGAGATAAAACGCATGATATTATTTTTATTATCCAAAATGACCTAGAAAAATCCCTGGACTGAATTTATAACAAATTGAACCAGGTGTTTCAGAGAAATCAGGTATGATGACGCCTTACCTTGTTGGTGAGTATAACACAAATATCCACCACAGCCAGAGTGTCGCTGGCAGCCGTGTCTCGGGCTCTGCGGTATGTGATATACGTACGACCATTACTGCTGTTGTTTACATTGGCGGGACTCCCGAACGGCGTGGTATGTACAACCTCGCACTCTGACATCAGACGTTCTTTCCCTTCATACAATACGCTGCAAGTACCAAACGAAGTCTTATACAAGAACAACACTGCAACAAGCTAGCAAATTTACCTAATATTGACTTTCCAAGACACCTGTAATATTCTAATTGATATTGTTGGTTTTTCATTGATATTTTGGTGGTCATGCAGCACTTTTACAGATGATCATACCATACAATTGTAAACACATAACAATATATATATATTATCATTTATAATGGCATGTTTAAAGCATATCAAATGAAAATACTGGTCATAATAAATGAACAATGTCACTAAGTTTGTAAAAATTGTAGTTATAGTCCTTATGCTTGTCAATGTGTCACTTGGCTGGACTCATCAAGTCAGGGAATGGCTTTGATTCACAATTAATCAAGTATATATGATCATTACCTATATATAGAGCTGTTCCATTAATACTGTTTCATTGATGATGCACAAAATATTGCATAATCAGAAAACATTTTTAATTCCAAGACGGATCTTTCATATCGTTTTGTCTATATATATAGCTATGAACTGTCACAGCTGACATCTTTACTCATTATGAAGTCATGACATTTGAAAAATACCATTCAAGCCTTAACAACCTTACCCAACATCTGTGAGTGGCGTTTTCTCCCTACTCCTGCGGTAACACAGATACATTTCAGCACAGCGTAGGCTACCATGGTTAAGATCAGCGGGGAACCCATCCACCGTTCTATCCAGACAGATGAACCCTTTAGGAACCTTCTCTCCGAGGGTTTTGTTGATGACACCTATATCTGTGATAGGGTCCTGTTTGTAGGTTGGTTTGATGACCGCTTCATTTGCATACTCCTCCAGTGGCAAAGGGTTCTCCGGTAACCCGGCCACAATGAAGTAGTCTGCAACTCGTCGCTCATCCATTATCTGTGTCAATAAATCAATAATTATCAATAAATGTGATAAAATTCAACTGCTGTCTCAATATTATGCATCTGTCTTATTTCAAATTTATATTTTTTCTTCTTCAAATTTTAATTAGCATTTTGAATGAAGTCTGAATGACAAATGTATATTTTACAGCGTAGTTTTGAAGAAATTAAATTAGTCCACAAATGTTCAAGTCTGTGGATCAAAGCATAAAATATCAACCAGAAATCAGCTTCATGTGCATAATGTGTAACATCATGAACTTTAAGCAGATCAGGGTTGGTTGAACATCATTAATTCTGACTATTCAGTTCTCAATAAAAATCTACATTAAAAACGATTTTTTCGATGAATGTACCATGATAGGATTTGCAGGGAGAGTTATTTATCAATTAGTTCCAGTATTTATAATAAAAATAAAGTTTAATCCTGTTTGGTTTTAAATATTTTAATTGTTAAATTGTTTAAAGCTTACTTATAGTTCTTCTGTAGTGTTGAGAGCACACTAGGGTGAGACAGCCATGCTCAACCCAATAAATAGTTAACTAGGTTTATACCATTTGTTACAACTGTATTCAGTATATTCATTTCACATCTTGCATCTCTGAGAATCGAAGCTCCAATTACATAAGCTGTGCATGCACAAGCCACTTGAGAATTCAGCCAAAAGAGGAAACTGTGTTCTTTTGGAGTTCTACCATTGCGCCATCTTGGAAGGAAAATCAACTGCTTACAATTCTTTGGTTTTGTCTGAAATACACATAAAAAGAAAATGATTGCACATACTCAACTAAAGATGGATGCTGCAGAAATTGGCAAAATATTGTGTATGTGCCATTGATATGTAAATTCCCTGTAGCCTTGAGAAGATAATTTGTATTTACATAAGGTAGCTTTCATAAAATAAAGCTTTTATCCGTAATTCATTACATCATTTAGTTCATAATTAATAGTCCATGAAATTAAATGCAAAGTTATAACCGAATCCAAGATAATGATCAATTTGACAATATTTCTTTACATCAACAGTAACTGGATTTATTAGAAATCCATTCAAAAACTTCTGCATGCTGTTTTGCAATATTTATGTAAGCTAATTACCTCTGAAAGCAAGATATTTTTCGAAATTTGAAATCAATTATTGTACTTTACTTAAGCTTCCAGATTAATATATTCTAATAACTTCACATATTACCAAATCCAGTGCTGTACGGTTTTTAATACAAAATTTGTTTAGTATTTTATCACATAATAATAGTTTGTTAATGGTGATATGGTGCACAGGGTCACGTTACAAATGTCTGAAATACACATATGCTATACTGATACGGGTCACAACACACATAAACATACTGTGTTGTGACCCGTATCAGTAAAGCATATGTGTATTTCAGCCTTTCGTAACGTGACCCTGTGAGTTACGCAATGGTATGCTTTTGTCAATTATTACAAGAAACTAGGTGTGGGATTTTTTGTGTGCACTAATGTGCGTTATTGTACTATTAAAAAATATGTGAATATATTGCTAGAAACTAGAAAGACCTATTTTTGACGACAATTGCTACACTGCAGTTTAGGTGTTTTCATTCTAGGCTATCTCTGTAAAATGGGAATGTTTTGGTCAAAGTATAGTACACAGTTAAGTTCTCAAACGAGGGACAATCCTTCACAGTACTATGACAGATCATCCTCACGTGATAAATGCAAAAACTTCCCAGTATTTTATTTCCTGGCAAACTTCTTTGCCATGAACATTTTAAAATTGAAAAGGACAGAATACAGACTAATTGTAAATAATGACTCATTGACAGTGAACTTTAGATCACAGCAATGCATCATGCAAAATGCTGGATCTCATCAATGCAGCAAAATAGTGTTGACCCACCTATTTCAGATGTATTCTACGCATGCATTGCCAGATAGCATATAAATCCTACACATTACTCAGAATTATTTTGTCAGCATCAGAAACAGCTGAATAACGATTGAAATAGCTAATATTCTGTACTGGATTTTTGAAATCTTGATTAGCCACTGTGTGACAGCAAAATGTCAACAATGTAATAAACAGGAATACAACAGGGAGTGAGGTATCCAAGTGTACCAGGTCTACCATGCACTAATACGACACGTAGGTATACTAAACATTAGATGCGTGGTCATGAGCTTGTTTTTATCCCAGACAGTGCATTTAGCGAATGACTGAAGTCGTATTCAGGGGACCATGTCAACAAAACCTGCAATGCTTGTGCAGTAAGCAACCCTGCATAATAAAGCATTGTATAAACAACAACGCTATCGAACAATGATATGTAACAGTGAACCCCCTGTTCTCTGACAACAGTAGAGAAGCTGCGTAGCAGACGTGGTATATACTTACAAATATTTAGAAGGTTTGTCATGCACATATATTCCGCCATGTTGAATAAATATTCCTACGCGCAAGTAGTCCATTTGTGACATTTAAATCATTGATTCCGTTTCAAGATAATTTTATAATCACAACAAGATTTTTTCAACTAATGACATATTTTTCCATTCATTTATTACAATCCAAACAGAATGTATGCCATACTGTAAATATACACAGCAAAAATAAACAAGACCTATATTCTTTCAGTCTAATGCGGAAACATCGGCAGGTGGTAGAAGGGAGTAGTCTTGGGTTGACACCTCCCTGCCTCATCAGCCCCAATGTAAATATTTCCAAAGCACCATGGGTGACTTTATTAGAAATGGGAGACAGGTGGCATTTTTTTATATGTGATATTCTGATCATAGACTTTTTAGAAAAAAGGCAAGATATGTTTCTAAGGATATTTCACTGAAAATACAAGTTCAAGTTTTGCTAGCCAAAAGGGATTAAAGAAGGAGAAATAACAAGATATTATCAGTACTTTATTATTTGAGTAAAAATATAATCAAATATTTCTGTTGTGTCTTATCGTATTAATTAATTTCAAATGAAAAATAACTACCTTAATTTATATTTTCTTCTTTTTATAGTCGATAGGTTTGTGGTAGATGGGAGGTAACTCTTATAGAAATATAATTATAAAGGATTTGGCTCTTGCCACGTGGATCATGCATATTTCTAACTTAGGTTGTTTTCAAGGCCGATATGCAATGACGAAGTCGTTGAAAATAATTTGATTCAATGTTACAGTACATAACGCAATCATAAAACAAATTTTGGTGATAATATGCTATGACGTTCATTCTCACTTATCATGCGCCAATACATAAACAGCAAAAGTGGAAAATGAACTTTGTATTGTGAACATTTTGTTATCTTTTCTCAAAAGAGAAACATGTGTAGGATAATAAACCGAAAGGGTTCTGTTTACTATTCACCAGTTTTGAAAACAGACGTGTCTATTACCAACAGGTCATTGTCAGTAAAACAGACACGTGATCCAGTACGTCTTCAAAACTAAATGTTTTGAATCTTCAAATTTACCATATTCGCGAATCCAAGATAGACTGTGTCATAAAAACACACATTTCTACAACAAATGCTAACACGTTTTTCTGATCGTATATGAAAATAGGCATAGGAAATAGGAAATCATGCAAAACCAATGTATTCAAAAACAATATTTATTTCATTCGGAACTTCAAACTTTTGAACAGTTTTCATGGGTTTAGTTTTAGAAAAGTATTTTTTCATCGACTAATGCATGTTTACAGTACAAAGCATTCTTTCTTCAGCAATAATACAAAGATACTACCTTACCTGTATCTCTTTAAAGTTGAGTTTCATGTTGTAACGTATATGTTACCATGCCAGCCAGAGATGCAAATACTATTTTACAGCATCTTCAATCGAAATGGTATGTTATTTTTACTTATTTTGATTAACTACTTGTAATTTGATCTATATTTGAGAAGACAAAAATCATTATGGTATGTTGCATTAAAACAAGGATATAATCTGTTCTTGTAACGTATCTGTTCACACAGTTTGAAGAAGTAAATTTATAACAAACTTTTATATTTTAAAACAACTTCACAAAAGCTCGAGGCGTAATTAAACACCAAGGCGGTTTTAACTTATACTGCAAAAAATGTGTACGCTAGCACATGTCACTTTTATTCAATCGTTACTCCCATTCAAAACTTAAACAGATACGTTACCATTCCAACAGATACGTTACACATTATAGTGGTCAAGTGTTAAACTCGTGCTACTTAACATTATCACTAAAACAAAATTTAAATCGATGTAATGATCACTTGTGTTCAAATATATGCACCTATCTCAATTTTTCACATAACCAAGTCGATTTTATCTGGGAAAATAATGCACCAAAACAGAAACGTGACCAAAGTGAACATATACGTTACATATTTTCCAAGTGATGTGATCCCTTATCCTCATATATCCCACCCTTTTCTTTCATAGCTTTTCACTAATTAATCCTTTAAAATCCTTTATAGTAGTTAAATTTATTTGAACATCTACAATAACGTACACAAATTAACCATTATTATATATATGCATTCATGTCTTTGAATTTCCTAAGATTTGAAGACATTCCCCTTGAAAACTAAGCCAGCTGATGCAAGTACAGTTTGTAAAAGGTCTCGTTACATTGTTCCTATCGAAATCTCACGAAACAAAACAAGAACANGCGCTACATGTAAAAATGGTAACTCAGATACTAAGCCTACTAATGTGAATATTAACATGCCTACAGAAAAGGACCATGTTCCATTTGCTGTATTTCTAATATGTCCAGAAATGTGTTTCACAATTGCCACGTGTCTTTTAATTACAAGACCGACTGGTACCAGTTTATGCTAAGACTTTAACTTACAAAACGGGAAAAAGATGGACCGTGGAACCTGTCTGTAAAGGCGAAATTTGTTGAATTGTTTGCAACAATGTTGCTTAATAAAATGTGTTTGAACTTCCTGTATTTGTATTTGTATTTATTTCCCACGGTGTCGATATCTTATTAACATTCACTAATTGGCCACTGTACACTTTCATTGGCTGANCGATAACTGACATATTGCGAGGCCTATGATGTAACCGACTTGTCGCCTAAAGTGACACGTAACAATTTTAAGAGTTGATAATGTCCCGAACTGGTCACAGGAGCACAGAAGTTCAAACTTCAAGAGACTGTGTGCTGCACCGCTGTTAGAAGTGAGCAAATTTTTGGACCCTCCGAAGGAGAAAATGGTAAAAATTGAGGGCGCTACATGTAAAAATGGTAACTCAGATACTAAGCCTACTAATGTGAATATTAACATGCCTACAGAAAAGGACCATGTTCCATTTGCTGTATTTCTAATATGTCCAGAAATGTGTTTCACAATTGCCACGTGTCTTTTAATTACAAGACCGACTGGTACCAGTTTATGCTAAGACTTTAACTTACAAAACGGGAAAAAGATGGACCGTGGAACCTGTCTGTAAAGGCGAAATTTGTTGAATTGTTTGCAACAATGTTGCTTAATAAAATGTGTTTGAACTTCCTGTATTTGTATTTGTATTTATTTCCCACGGTGTCGATATCTTATTAACATTCACTAATTGGCCACTGTACACTTTCATTGGCTGACAATGAGAATGGAGAATTCTATTGTATTCAGTATAGGGGAGGAGCCTCACTAATACCATATGGTATTAGTAAAACTGTGTAAAATAGGTTGGTTATACCATAGCTAGATCAAAGGGAAAGTGACACGTCTATGCGACAAATAAGACAAATACAGGTCACGTATTTGTTGAAATTTTTAACGGACAAGCCACGAATACCGAGATACTTGATATATGAAAGGCGGATCTACAAGCTTTTCTGGTTGTTCGACCTGTGATTGGTTTTCAATAATGATTCCTCCATCAGGTGGAGGAGGAGGATGACTACCTTCCGGGTACCCGGAACTTTAGGAGGTGGAGGAGGAGGTATGCTCGAGTGGTGTAGGGGGACGGTTTACACCCCGTACGTATCAAGGACTTTTAATCTCTCAAATATCCTATAATTGGTACATTTTATAAAGATTTTAATTGTATCACTTTTCCTTTGACAATAAAGTTCCTTTAGATTTGAGTTATGAGTAGTGTAACATAATAAACTATATCTGTATGATTGTTGCTGACGGACCAGTCGCTAGATGATCAAGAAAGGGTTGGTTTGTTTGTGTTTTACGTCCTATTAACAGCTATGGTTATTAAGGACGAGTCTGGTTTTGGTGGTGGACCACCGACCTGCGACCAGTACCTGGCGATTAGCCCATGTAGGACTCGAACCCGCGAGTCATTTCAGGAAATTACTGACCCGATAACGAGGCTAACAGCGATATAATGTATTGTATATTCATTTCAAGTGACTTTTGGTGAACACTGTTTAGAGGTATTATACACCAAAATACGATATCCAGTTCGGTCGATAATTGAGTAATTCAGCAAAATTGAGAAACTAATAGGATGCATGAATATTACTTTAGTTTTCCCTTCTTAATATTATAGCACCAGCCTCCAGTTCTATGGAAGGCGAATATGTGACGTGGTTAGATTGTGGGGAAGGGATAGAGAAAGCTGAAGGATAAGCGTGTGACACGGGGATCTGGTGTCTTCTCTCCCTCCGTAACTCGTAACTGTTTAGCGTGGAAATATCAGTTTTCTTAGAAGTGAGAACGCATAACTCCATAACTAATTGTAAAAGTCGTGCGCAAATGAAATAAACATGAATATATATGTAATACCAGATATACAATTGTAAATCTCTGTATGTAGAATGTGACACTTTCCATTTCAAATAAAAGAGTTCAAAATTATTTTGTAAAGAAATCTGTATATTCAGCGCAAAAAAGAAAGAAAGGAAAGTATTATTTGGTCCAGTGATTGTTGTTTTCAAGGTGAAATACTTATTGAGGAGTGTGTTAGACTCCCTAATCTACCAACGTGTGTTAACACATTTAAGATATAACCCTGCTGTATTTTGAGATTGGCGGCGGTATATCGTGATTATACAGTCGCTTAGTAAAACGGAAGTTGGCGACAGTTAAATCACAACACACCGCCGTTACGTACACTACTGTACACTAGGGTACATGCCCAGGATTGTCGACAAAATACGTAACAGTTTAACTGCCGGGTTCTATTGCGAAAAAAACAAAAGATAATTTACGAGGTAGTATTTTATTTTTATTTTTTATTTGTCTGTTTGGTGGCTTCACCTGCGTACCATCCTCGACACCAGGGGTTATGCTCACTTTTGCTCTCTGCACACCTGGTATATGTCATTGCAAAATTGAGGGCACAAAGATAGCTGTTTGATTGGTCTCAAGTAAAAATACCACCTGACCAATCGCTAGGCTGATACATGTCCTTTGAAAATTACAAAGGAGTGACACACGACTTCAAAGCTAGTCATTTTTTACCGTTATGCGACCGCGAGATTCTTTTGAAGTACAATAAAGGA